ACTTGTTAGTGAACTCTTTATTAGATTTATTGTATTCATTAGAAGATTGTTTGTGTTTTGTCAAGACTGGGGAGTAGGGAGTATGAAGATTAAATTGCATCATAGATCTGGCTATTAACATTTATTTTGAGGATTTCCATGACATAACAGCTCTGGCTAGTGTAAATATATAGCCACTTGTGAAATGTAAGTTCTTCATATCAGATATCCAGTTTGGATTGGTGTAGTTTACTAATAAAGATGGGTATCTGGTATTATGAAACTCCCAGTCATGTGTATGTCAAGTACTCTAGTACTTTTGTTATAACACTTCAATGTTTGTCACCGAGATCACTCGTATAGAAACTCAGTCTGCTTACACATTTAGCTCTCAATAACTCGAGAATATTCTAGATGAAAATATCCTCTCTAAGATTTTTGTACGAATGAAGTTATTATCTAATGGTGCTTTTGTGACTTCAGAGTCATTCGTGTTAAACTTATTAGTAATCAACACTAAACTATTTGGTGTCATTATTTTAACTCCTAAAATCACATCGAGAAAATCATTATCTTCCATGTTAAACTTTGAATTCAATATATTCATAGTATATTAGACCAACTTCTCAATATAAAATGACATAATTATTTTCTGTCTCTTTGATATAAATGCGTTTGTCACGCTCATTGATCTTGGTCAAACTTCTCATGCCACTCCTTTAGCTTCATGCCATACAATAATTTCGCTATATTACATATTTATTTATCAGTATTTGGAGCTCGAAAATTCTAAGGTTGTTCTATGTGAATTTCTTCATCTAAATCTCTATTTAAGAAAGTTGTCAACATCTATTTGATATCTTTCCAAATTCTTTAAATCTGTGATTACAAATATCATTCTTATAGAATTTATTCTCATCACATGTAAATACGTACCAAAGTAATCAAACCCTTCTCTTCACTTATATCCTTTCGTTACACCCAAGCCTTGTCCTTGTCAATGGAACCACCTGGTTTCAGGTTCCTTTTAAAGTTCCATTTAGATCCTAAAGGTTTATTTCTATATGGAGATCCACTAGTTACCAAGTGTGATTTTGTAGAATAGAATTGATCTCGCTCTTTATGATTTCTTTCCGTAAATGTTCCTCAGAGAAACTTATTACCTCGACATAAGGCGGTGGTTTCTTCTCAAAATCATCACCATATGAGTTTCCTACCCTTGGCCTCATCCTTTGTCCTGGTTCATCATCTTGAACCTCAACCAGATCCTGAATTTCTTTATCAGATAGGTTCAACAAGATTGTTTTATCGTTAGACTTACAAGAAAATACATTTTCAAAGAAACATAGATTTCTCGATTTCGTTAGTGTGTTCTTGTGTATATTTATAATCTTTGAATCATGCACAAAGAACTTATACGTACTCCTATTATGCGCATAGATGAAAAAAGTATTGTCCACAAATTTCAGACAAAATGGCCTTTGGAACTACTTTTGTCAAACACCCACACACTCGTAAGTATGTAAGTTTTGTTAGGATGATTTCTTTCCTTTCCACAACTGATATGGATTTTTGTTTTCTTTCTTTCAGGACACCCTATTAAAAGGTAGTCACTAGATAAGACGACTTGTCTCACATATTGGGAGGTGATCCTGAACTTAATAACATTGTATTCATCATTTCTTTTAACGTACAATTTTTCTATTCAGTAACCTCATAAGATTGAGTTCAAGAAGGTGATGCCACTTTATGGATAATTCTATGTTGTCCACAAAAGGCACCAATTGGTGCTTCATAGCTGCCACCTATCAATTCGGAATCTTTAATCTTTTTGTCAAGTTGATATTCAAAACTGACTTGGAATGTTGGTATATGTGTTAAGTTAATTAATTGATGTATTGAATTAGAATTAACATGACATAGTCTATCATCCCATAAATTAGAAGACTCACTGAAATAAGCATAAGAGGTATTTGCTTTCATTTAATTGACAACGGTCATTTTGAAAAACCCATCAGTTGGTTACCCCTTTCTCAACAAACATTCCCGGCCTACACTGAATAATCGTATGAGATGCAAATACAATGTGGAAACTATTTTTTCCCAGCATGAATCCTGACACAAGTTTCTTGCAAATTTTTAGTACATATGGCCCGCTTGTGAGCGTCAGTGTCTTGGCAAAAGTCTTCAGCTTCTCAAATGTTTTGCCTTCAGTAGAAGCCACAACAGTCCCCACGTATATCTTCTCTCCATGGACTGGTTCAAAGGTGGTGAACTAATTTCTGTTGGTACAAGCATGCTTTGATGTGCCAGTGTCAAATCCATTATTCCTTTGAGTTAGACTCCACTATGTTAATTTTACACGACTTACTAAACCGCCATAAAATAGTTTCACGTTTCTCTACTTTAATATTGTTTTTCTTTTTTTAAAAAAATTTATTTACACTCCTCTCATTGGATGAACCTGTCAAACCCATGTGTTGGTCACAACAACCCGGTTCAAATCCTCCACTTCTTTAAGGATGTCTTTGATTATTTTTGTCTCATGATCCTTCTTCAGTGAGCGGTGATTAGTGAGCCTTGACTTGGTTTGCGCTGGTTAAAACAATTATCTTTGAACCTGTATTTTTGTTTCGAGACACCGCCACTATTCCCACGCTTCCCCTTGTCCTTATCGGCGTTCGTGGTCTTGGTATTGCTCTTAGAGCTTTGGGTACTACCATACTCCACAACAGTGGCTGTAGCTTATTACGCCATTGGACGCGTTCATTTTAGAATTCTTACTACCTTCTCTTCAATGCAAATTCTAACGATCCAATCCTCCAAACTCATTTTCTTGGACTTGTGCTTGAGGTAATTCTTGAAATCCCTCTAGTCTGGAAACAACTTCTTAGTGAATACAGTTACTTTATAAGTTTCGCTCAAAATCATCTCCTCAACTTGGATCTCGTGCACTATGAGCCGGATCTCTTGCACTTGACTATCAATAGTCTAGGAATCAACCATCACATAATCAAAGAACCGTCGGACCACAAATTTTTTTGAGCTAACGTTCTCGGATCTGTATTTACGGTCCATGAATTTCTATAATTCTTTATACTTTTTAAATTTCTCTTGCAAATTATATGATGAATCATAAATATTATTCAAAATATAATTATGACAAAGAAAATAACAACTTTTCTAAGCCTCTAAGGAGTAAGTGCTGGTACATGAAGAAGACCTTCGGGCAACTTAAAGAAGCCACCTCTATTAAGAGACTAGCCAAGTCCAACGTGGTCAAGTAAAATAAGTATATTTTGTTGGTAGCTCTTGAAGTTGTAATTGTTCCATTGAATTTATACGACTTCTCCATATGGCAAGCCGAAACATTAGGAACAATGGCAAACATAGCAACATTAGTAGCAATCCCGAGAACAACAGTTACAATAGCACCGAACACAACAATAGAGGGAGCGTCACTAGGAACACCGACACCAATAGTATCAACATTATCAGCGTCAGTCACCATCACGAATAAACAAAATACTAAGAGATTTAATTTGTAGTAAAATTATTGATCCAAGTATAATGTGTATTCACAACAAACAGAACCGAGTTGAGGAAGAATAGTAATTTTGAGACACTTGATAACCATACTATCCTTAAGCCCACACAAGGTGTGCTAGAAGAAATAAAGCTACTATTTTCTTAGGACATAATGGAAACTTTGAGGGCTACTCTATAGGAAACAACCTTACATTCGAACTGGAACTAAGAAAAATTATAAAGACAAAAAAAAAAGGAGAAAAAGAGAAACTCAGAAAAGAGTTAAAGAACGGGATGATGGATATTGGGAAATGAGCCTTTATGCTAGAGAATCCTTTAAAATGGTAGAAAAGTAATGTTTAACTCATTTTAATTATGTCAGATGCTATTAATTCATGGCATATAAATGTTAAAACGTTTGTGCCTATCAATAGCCAAACGTATTCGATCATCTCATTTAATGGAATTAAAATTGTCAATTCATTTTACCATTCCTACCAAATTGAAGGCAAAAATTCAATCGAAATGTTTCAGTTTCGATTTGATGAAAATGAATGAATCTAACTCTCTACTTAAAATGAATGAATCTGTGGACTTGAAGCACATAGTTTGCGTCAATTTGATTTTCCTGTAGAATCCCAAATCCTTATAGAAGAGATTATCCAGCTTAAAAACTGTTTCTCTAGATGTAGTATAGTAAAAGTTGATAGGAACCAATTAGAAAAGGTATATAGGCTTGCCTATTACCAATTTATGTATATTTTTTCGACTTAATTTAATATATATCCTTTTCTTTTTTTTTAAAAAAAATTTGATTGGAAAAAATTGATCAGGAAAGAAGCAAAATTCAGGTGGATAAGGGCCGAGATTTTAGTTCGACGTTCGTGTCCGCAGATACACACACATGACCCAATCTATTTTGGGCCTCAAATATAAAAAAATAAAATTGTTCTTAATATTATGAGAAATTCAACTTCTTAAAAAGTGCTAACACTTACATTTATGGGTTAATTATCTCATATTTTATATGTGGGACAAAATCCCTAATAGTTTAAACTGAAATCTCATTGAAAACATTGTATAGCGTGAAACACAATTGGATTACATTCTAAAATTGGCGATATGGAGAAAAAGAAAAGTGGGATCATCAGGAGACTTCTCAAACTCTCAAAAACTCCAACATGGATGATGCAATGCATGTGTCTCTTCACCTCTTCGGCCTTTCCCATGCATGCGAATCATCCCCAATTTTGCTTGTATCATTGCCTGCTATGTGGCACATTCAATCGGTGTGCTATGTGTCATTTTGTAGGCTGAATTTTTGGTGACGTTTTTTTTTTTTTTAAGATGTAAAAAATTTCTATCTACAGATTTTCTGACACTTTCCTATATATCAATCCATAAGAAGTAGTACATAATAACATTTTAACTTTTAAGTGCTCATTTATGCTCCATAAATATTTTTGGTTCATCTTCAAATTTCAACCCTAAAAATGCCTTCAACAAACAAAAATGCCTTCATCAGCTTGTTATTATTAATAGCTTTTTGCCTATCTTTCTCAGCTGTTTATAGTAATGAAAATAAAACTACACAAGACACATACAGCGATGGATCATCGTCGTCGTTGTCTCCGCCGGGTGTTTGTGCAAACTGCAGCGTTTGTCAATATCCCTGCCGCGTTCAGCCGCCGCCTCCGCCGCCGGGAACCCAACCAATATATGCTGCTCCGCCACCTCCGGTTGGTCCTCCTGGACAACAAGCCAACTGCCCTCCGGCTGGTCCGGTTATTTGCTGCGGCGGCCAACAGTACTCACCCCCGGCGCCGCCGTACAATTACTATCCCTACGGCGGCGGCAATCCGATTCCCTCCGCCGAGCCCGTCGTGAAGCCTATTTCTTCCATGTGGTTGGCTGCTGCCTATTTCATGTCAATCATGGTTATTCAAGCTTGAAGGGATTCTTTCCGATCAGGACGTGATCGATGAAGAGAAAGAAGAAACCCGGAAAAAGAATTTGTAAAAATTATAGCTTCATCAGAAAATCTGTATGAATCTATGGGATTGACTCTATGTATTATTATTGTTATTCCAGTAATATATAGTATTTATTTATTTTTCCTATAATAATTCTTTTTTTTTTTTGGTTATAAATTTATACAGTTCCTGCATAGTGTGTATGCAACAATGAATGAAAAATAGAATCTGAAAAAGTAGGACATGAGAATCACTCCGAAACCGAATTAGGACATCATTGCACTCCATCTCTTCTCTGGAGACAAAACTCAGAAGTTTGATTAGTAATTAGCCACGTTTAACTTTTCAGTCCAAAGTGTACGATGAATTCGGTTATGTTGGGTTTTTTTTTTTCCTTTTTTTTTTCCCCTTTAAGATAAGCAATCATGTCATGGAAAGTGGAAACAACCTTTAACAATTTTTTCCCGAATTTATATATTCCCACTGTCTTAAAAATAATATTGTATTGTTTTAATTTTTACTTTTAACACTATAATTTATACTAGTTATAACATATTTAAATCAAATTATTATTTTAGGCAAAAAAACATATATACATAAGGTAGAAAAGTATCCGGTCAATGCGTCATTCTTCCATTGCCATTGCCACATTTGTGTCCAGTTCGTTTTTTTGGGACGGTGAGTTTGCACATTGAAGCCTCGCATTCCCGTTTCTCATAAGTAATACCATAAATTTATTTATTTGGTTGAGTAAATGTACAAGGGATATTACAATTAGAACGTCGGTACATTAATAATCGATAAATTAATACTCTCTATGTCCTAAAATTATTGTCTATTTTGAAATTTTACTTTTAGTACAATTTGAACAAAAAATGAAAACTCAAACTGGACAATAATTATGGAACGGAGGGAGTAATTTCTAACAATCAATAATTTTTTCCGGTCCCAACTTGGGACCAGTTCAAAATGTGAAAAAAAAATCGATAAAATTATTAGATAATATTGTTTCAAAAAATCTCCTATATATCTATAGGTCCCAACTATTCCATAAAATAATAAATACCCTAAAAAAAAATAATAATAATTATTATAAATATTTAGTAAAATATGCACTATTAATACTTATTTTTTAGTTCATGGGGATGATATTGGATTGATTTGGATATAAAAATAACTGCAATTAAATAATTTAGTGACAGTTTTTTAATCTCACACAAATTTTTAAATATAATAATTTTTTAATTTATCAATTATTTAATAATCGATAAAATAATAAATTTTAGTAGTCCCAATACTTTTAGTTTATAGAAGTTTTACGTCTTTTCAAAGTGTACAGTAATTTTTTTCCTTTTTGATTACAAAAGTGTACAGTATTCTTTTCTGAAGTGTTCAGCATGGGTATTTGTATGGGCCTGGTGACGTTAAGTGGGTTTAAACAGATTGGCCCAATGAGCTAATAACTAATTTAATTTCTTTTTATAGTAAACCAAACATTACATTAGAAATTGAAAACCGAAGGGGAATCCAACCAGAGAAATTGAACACCTCCGAAAACCACCGCCGGCGCAGCCGTCATTCAGCCGTTACCCGCAGCCAACGAGTGGCGGAGGAGCTGACCGCCGCCAATCGATTACGTAATGCATTCTTATGGCTTTTTTCTGTGCCTGATTTTTTTTTCGCATCCTATTTAATTTTTCGAATTTTTTGGTGGAATGGTACATTTTGCTTCTTTACGTAGATCCATCCCTTTCTTCCACAGCCTTACTACCGTTGGAATCCTTCTTCCCGTTTTTCCTCGACGGAGCTTTTAGACTCTTGGCCTCGCTCTCTGTTCTTCTTCAATCTGCTTGTTTCATTGATTCTTTTCGCCCCCTTCCTTTTGCCGTGAGATTTGTTTTTGTTTTTTTTTTTCGCGAATTGCGTTGATTGTGATATTTCGGAAAGGAGGTTCCTTTATTGACTTCAATAGCTGTTTGGTAGCAATATTAATGATTGCAATTTTATCGGTTATAACCTAGCTGAGTGTAGTGTTTAAATCCGGTATTTGTGCTTGGACTACTTAAAATTTGTCATATTTCAAAGTATCAAATGGAAAATTCTTTTTCCATTTTGCGGCTATCGTTTGCTCTTTTTTCGCCATGTGTTCTTTTTAATTATGCTTGTTCCCTGAAATCTTTTAACTCATAGACATACTTATATTGTTTTGCAGTTTCTTTAATCTGTGTGATTTTCATGATATTGGAGCATGCATGGCTAGCTATTTGGGAAAATCTGCTCCTTCAAATGGCTCGGTGTATGTTTGCAACTTACCTCCAGGAACAACTGAGGATATGGTGGCTGAACACTTTGGAAAACTAGGGGTGTTAAAGGTATCTGAGTTACAGTTTAGATTTTGCTCATTCTGCAACCTATTATGCATAGTTTATGTGTTACTTGTTTATCATCTGATATCATCTACTAAATGTATTTCTGAATTTGCATTGTATAGAAAGACAAGCGCACTGGTCGACCAAAGATTTGGTTCTATCGTGATAAAATCACCAATGAGCCAAAAGGGGATGCTACAGTAACTTATGAGGATCCTCATGCAGCATCAGCTGCCGTGGAGTGGTACAATAACAAAGATTTCCACGGAGCCACAATTGGAGTTTTTATTGCAGAGTCAAAGAATAAGGAGGATCAGTCATATAATTCTGGAAGTAATGTTGTTGATCAAAACGTAGGTAGTGATCTTATTGGATTGGAGGTAGGTTCTACAGAAATAAATGGAGGGGCTGGACGAGGTAGAGGACGAGGGGATGCTTCTGGGAAGGCATGGCAACAAGACGGAGACTGGATGTGTCCGAATACAAGGTCTGTGATGTGATCATTGGTGAGCAGCTTCTCTTCCTCTTTTGTATTCTTGTAGTTAAGGGATTCCTTGAAATTAAATGGGAGTCGACTAAGGTTATTTTGCTGATGGCAGTTGCTCCAATGTGAACTTTGCATTTCGCGGTGTGTGCAACCGTTGTGGCAGTGCGCGACCTTCTGGTGTTTCTGGCGGTGCTGCAGGATCTGGAGGTCGAGGAAGGGGTGCTGGTGGCCAAGAGTCCGGAAATGGTAGTCGTGCTGCTGTTGGTGGGCTATTTGGTCCAAATGATTGGCCTTGTCCAATGTGAGATTTATATTATCGTCTTTCAGACATAATATCAATATGTTCACTTTAATTTCTGTCACTTTCGGCTTTATTCTTGTATTTTTATTGGTAATAGGTTTTTTCCGTTTGAGTTTCAACTTTGTTTATCAGTTGCTGCTAATTTTATACTCTGATATCTCTGTTAGAGCCAAATTATGTTTTCACTGTTGACATGAATGTACTTATCTAGCTTGATGTAGACTTTAAGATCAGAAGAAGAGCATGGGATAAACACCAAGTCAATTGGCTACTGTGGTTAGGGTAGAAAATTTTGAAACACACAGACTACATGAGTTTTTAAACATTCTGGAAGTTGAATATTTTCCATAATAATGTTTGGTTTGATTCTGGGCCACGAGCACTTTATTCCTGCTGCAAGAAGTAAATTAAAGCAGTTGGTATTAGAAGAAAGGATTAGCAGGCATTATCTTTCGGTAGATTAGTTCTCAATAATTTATGCTGGGCTAAAAGGTCAGGCATGTTGACCGAGTTTAGAAATATGAAATTGTAGTGAAATTGGTTTTATTGACTTCGTTTTCTAGCTGGCGTGTTTTTCTTTGTTTTCTAGCTGGCGTGTTTTTATTTTTGATTTTGTTTGTTGTTTTAAAAATGTCCAAGACAAGTAGCTGATATTTCCAATTTGAGTGGATTTGTATAACTAAAACATTAAAACTGTTGGTCTTTCGTTTACGTTTCTATTGTTCTTAGTTGTACCTTTGGTCTATCAACAAATGGGTGCTAAAGAAATTTACTTCCTTTTGGTGATGATGTCTTTATGCTTAAAAGTGCAGCGGCATATCTTTGTTGTGATGTCATCTGTCTTTTTTTTTTTTTTGGAGGGGGTCTAGTCTATACATATTCTTAGATGCTTCAATAATTTGAAATTGTTCCTTAGAGCCCTTCTACGTTTCACTGTAGTTGGTTAAATGTTTTTTTTTTTTTGGCGTGTGAACCCACTGACCATACATCTCTGTAGCATTCTTTTTTTTTTCTTCCGCAAAGTGCTTTGGCTTTTGTAGAGTACTTTGTTTATGCTGTAATTTTGTTTTATAGGTGTGGCAATATCAACTGGGCAAAGCGCACTAAATGCAACATTTGCAACACTAACAAGCCTGGTCATAATGAAGGTGGAGTTAGGTATTGTCTTATTATTTCAGTGAAATTGTTTGTTGCCACAGTTTTATATCATTCACGGGTTCATGAAGTAGTCGGATGGATTATTATTGGGAGCTAGCCATGTTCAGAATTTTTCAACATACATTGCCTCAGATGTTAAAAGCTTTTTGTTTTATAAGCATGTTGTGAAGTCTTAGAAGTTTTTATACATTGCCTCAGAATTTTTTACTTTCCAATGGGTTGAAGTTTGCATGACAATGAGTGACTGAAATGGGCTTCCGTATCGTGACAGAGGTGGTCGTGGTGGAGGCTACAAAGAACTTGATGAGGAAGAACTAGAAGAAACTAAAAGAAGGAGACGGGAAGCTGAAGAGGTAAGATAATTTCTAAAGTTAGTAATTTAAACAACTTGCACTGCAAAGTAAGTCTTTGACCTGATTCCCAGGATGATGGTGAAATGTATGATGAGTTTGGTAACCTTAAGAAGAAATTTCGTGCCAAAATGCAACAAACTGAAGCTGGTCAGAAAATTCCTGGTGTTGGACGTGCTGGATGGGATGTGGACGAACTAGGTAGTCTCTTAGTTGGATAATTTACTTTGAAAAGTTTTAGTTTTATTGTGATTTAATTAAAGCCTAAACAATTACATAGTATGTTTTTCTCTCATCTGCAAATGATTTTTTTATTTTTTATTTTTTGTGAAAATTTTTATATATTTCGCTGTGTGCTTTGCATTGTACTAGTATTTATGTTGTTCTGATTTACTGAATTGTGGCATTTAGAATGCCTTCACTGTTCTGCAAGGTGCATTTCACTTTAGTTGATGTTCTATTCCTATTTGAAGCATGTTTAAAAACTGTCTTGTCGTCTAAAAAAGTAGGAAGATTGGAGAGATAATAAGGTTTTCGAGTTCAGATTATTGATGCTGAAACTCTGTTGTTTGCCTCTTTACTCCTTTTGAAAAAGTAAATTATGAAGAACTATTCTGTTTCTAGATTTATCTTTAATTGAGTTGGTCATTAATTTGGAATCAAAATAAGAAACTTTCTAAAATATTGATGCTATAAAGTTACCTATTGATTTTATATTCTCATCATATTTTTCTAGAGCCAGACTGGTTAATTATAATAATAATGCGTATGGTGCACCCAATCCCAACCAACCTCTTTCACTTAAAACTACATATTATTACATCATACAATGTTTTCTCTTATTTTTTCTCTAGGTTTAAGCTTTCTGTTATCATAACATTAGGTTGGTTTATGCTCTAGCAAGTTGAAGAAACCTAAAAAATCTGAGTTAATCCTGGAAAATAAATAGTCTATTGGATCAAGTGACGAGCTTAGCGCACATGCTCTTAAATTGCATAAGGGGCCTATTGTGGACCTAGAGTCTTCTTGGCTCTTTGTTAGCTGGGTGAAGGCTTAACTAATGTACTGTAAAATCTATATATGCAGTGAAATAATATTTTTATTAGCTGAAATGATTCTATAAATTAAAAATAACATGTTGTGGAATTCTTAGGCCCACTATATGCGTGATCCTGTGATCGGATGTCTGATTAGATTTTCTAATTTTGAATGGGGCTAAACTGGAGAAATTTGATTCAGAGACCAGTTATGTCAGGGATGCTGCTTGTAGGATAGGAGCAACAATTAGGAATTGATGAAAGCATTCTGTTACCAAATAACCCCAGAGAGAATGGATTTTGGTTATATTTTTGCCCGGTCATTGCTAATCGCTTGCTCATTATGGTTATAAAAACATTAAAATTTAGAGCAGTGGCGAAGAAGGTATCTTAAAGCTATTACATTTATTGACGAAAGTATAAGGGATTAGCATACTGGTATCGTCCAATATATAAGCCATTTTGTGTATACCATTTAGTTCATTATATTTTGTATGAAATTCATTGTATTTTGTAATGTTCTGCATTGTTGTATGGAAACTCACTTCAGTTCTATGATATCACACTCAACAGTTTATTTCTATGATATCGCACTCAAAACACTTGCACAAAACCATTTATTGGCTTAAATTCTTTTTTGACAAGTGAAATATTTGGACAGGTGCAAGTGACCGGGATAGGAAGGAAAGATCCAGAGACAAAAGCAGAGATAGTTATGAAAGAGAGAAAGATAGGCACCGAAGTAGAAGCAGAAGCAGAGAACGAGATAGAGGACGAGATAGTGACCGGGATTACAGTTATGATCGGGACAGAGAACATAAACGGGAACGGGACAGGGATCGGGAGAGGAGCAGATATCGGTACTGAAAATTCTTAGCTAGTTTTGGAGTTCCCAATCTTTTTGTGCCCGTGGTGGGAGAGAAATTATGGTTTTCTTTGCAGATGTTTCTCTAAAACCCTATTTAGGTTATTTTTTCTTCAATGTATTATAATATATTGGCAGATTTCAAGAACAAATAAACAACTTTTGTGGCTTCTAAGTTCTGTTTACCTTCATTTATTAAGGGGTTTTAGGTTTTCTTTCCTTTCTTCTATTTTTGGGTTCTGGACTTTGCAGTTCCAGTTTCTTTATGAACCAAAATTGCTCACTTTCAGATTTTCGGTTCCCATGGGATTGGCTCATGATATAGCAAAATATTTCGAGACTTTTTCACTAAAGCCCAGGATGATCCTGGAAAAAATGCATTTAACGGGACAGTGAGAAAAGAGATGATCTATCGCCTGCGGTTTCAGAGGACATGCCTCGCGCCTTTGTTCTTCAGTTAACATTTTCAATTTCTTCAGTCTAGAATCTGTCCAGAATATATTATTTTAAAGCAACTCAAGCCAAGGCTTTTAAAATAGGGATTCTAACTAGAATCGTTTTGAGTTAGAATCGTTGTCAAATTTGTTAAGACAGTAGTTATTATCATAAAAATTACCTATGTAATTTAAAATTTACTTACATTGTCATCTATACCTTTTCAAATACTCTTACTTAAATTTAGGTACTACATGTGTCAACAGTTACGACATGGTAAAGAAATACACAAAATCAAATATCTCAAATTATAAGTAAATACACAATTTCAAATTCCAATCATTTAAAGTACAATATTTAGTCATTTACCATCATCTCCTAAAAATCTACCATCAAATACATCCTAAAAAAACCAAACTAAAAAATCATATCCAAAATCAACTACAAGGTCAAACGGGGCAGAAGGAAAATTGAGAGCAGAAAGCTAAATTGGAAAATTAAAAAAAAAAAAAGAAAAAACCAAGGAAAGCTCAAGACACCGATGACAAATCTCATACTCACCTCACTGGCGTGGCGCGCCAATCCAAATTTGGGCTAGACGCCTCAAGAAAGCTCCAATCAGAGTAGATTTACTCTAATTTCTTTGATTTGAGAGGTTAATTTTGAGTGGTTTTTTTTTTAATTTTTTTTAAAGACAGGGGAGTAGATGAAATTACAAAACCGTGAAAGTAATGAGCTGGTCGATGATGTGCCATGTATTATAGTTTTTTTTTTATTTTATTAGTAATTTGTGGTTTTTAAATGGTATGAATTAAAAAAAATTTTGCCCAAGATTTCTGCCCTACAAATTTAATTCAATAAAAAAATCAAAAAACACTTAAACATTCAAATTTTTAGAATCGTATAAAATCGTAAGACTTTAACATTGTTAAAGATTCTAGCAAAATTATTAAGATTTTAGTACATAGTGAGATTCTACTAAACTTAGAATCAATACAGTATATTAAAGTCGTGAAATCGTAAATTTTAAGACTTAAAGTTGGAATTTTAAAAATCTTGACTCAACCTTTGAAGCTGTGTTTTGGCAAATTATATCTCCCTCATTTTAATTCCCATTAGTTTTCTCTAGTGCATATGTTTTTTTTTTAAAAAAAACAATTCTGTTTGTTGTTGATTTCATTGATGGTTTTCGCCCACTTATAAGTTGTAAGTCCTTTTTAAATCCTGTTTTGCAAGTCTTGGTGTGTATGTATACTACTGATTATTCGAAGTTAAAAAGTGTGTATTTGTTTGTTGTATGTATATTAGCCTTGGTGTTCATCAATTTTATGTTAGCCCTTTTTAATTTTGTCAAAGCATTCTCGGTAAAATTATTCTATACTCCACATCATCTCTCTCTTGAGCCCGCTTCTTAACCAACCAACCTGACGAAAATTATTCAATTCAATCTTCTAGATGGTGGATTTAGCAGAAAGAATCAATGGCTGGATAAATTGATTCAGGGTAGGGTAATTGTTCAGAACATGGTTCTTATAATTATTAGTATTCCCGAACAAAATCTTAGCTGTGCTATCATCGTACTCCAAAACATGATTTTCAGGAGGGTTCTTCACGTTGAAAATCACGTTCTAATTTGTACCCAAAAAAAAAAATCATGTTCCAATTCGCCGTGATGTTGCCGGAAACATAGTCGCTTTCAACTGGAAAACATACAGATTAAACAGAGTTTTTCGGGGAAACCAGAGGTCTCCCCCCTTGCAGATAGAAAAGAAAAGCTGTGGCTCTATTGAAGTTTCAAGGAAAATATCGTTCCTACCCAAAACTTTGTTCTCGTTGTCAATAATACCTAATAGATTTTAGTTAGTCAACTTTATTCTAATGTTTGAAATTTTCGCCAATTTCGTCCAATCGGCTCATTTTCTATCCAAATTAACGGACCTCCTTTAGTTTTTTAATAAAATAATAAATTTTTAAGTTTTGCGTTCTTGTAGGAAAAAAATTTAAGTTTTTGAAGTGCCAAGAGATTGGGTTCTCAATTTCGGAGAAATGCACAAATATGGTTCATTGATCTATAGGAATTAAGATCAATTGTGGCTTTAGTTTATTATTATTATTATTATTATTATTATTATTATTATTTTATTTTTGTGTAAGATATTATAATAGTGGTATTGTTAATTCCAATTATTTTTTATTTTATAATTTTTGACAAATAAGTTACTGTTCTTTATAAAAAAAAATTTCAAAATGATACCTCTTTTATTAATTTAACTTATTCTATTGTCCTTTAGCCAAATTTTTCTCAAAAAAGTACAAAAAAATCATTACTCGTTTATTAGGATTAGTTAAAAAATAGTTTCGATGATTTTAACATCTCCGAATTTTTTAATGTCTTTCCTTCTTCTTCTCTTCTAAAAAAAAAATAAATTAAATTAATGGGCTCATCAATGATATTTTGAGGAATTATTTTTTAACTCAAAAGAATATTAATTTTTTTTTCGTGAAAATGTAAATATATTGATAATGAGGTTTTCAGTTCATATTTACAACCAAAACATGTCCCTATTCTGTCTATTGTACCAACAACTAGCTCTGCTATACATTACTATAAAAAAGTCTATCCAAAATTGTTGCTTCCAGACTAGTTTTCTTGTCCCCTACACACTATTCAGTTCTCCATTTCACTTCTTTATGCTTTCTAGTATGCATTATGTGTTCTTTTTCGTACATGTAAAGCACCTAGCATTTCTTTCCTCCCATACATGGTAGATAATGCCAGCCATCACAGCAAACAGAATCCTTCGTTTCAATCTACTTTTCCTCCATACAAACAAAATTCTTTCCCTCCATCTCTTATGATCCACTATCATGCCCTGAACCCCTAACCATTGAGCAGCAGCAAATACTAGTTTAGCAGTATATTTACACTCAAAAATGAAGTGTTCATATGTCTCCAGACATGCATTACACAGCTCACAATTCTGATCATTATTCAATATGTTTAATCTAGCCAGCTTATTCTCAGTAAGTAACCGATTCTTCCAGAACAGCCAAACAATAACACAATGTTTCGGTACATTAACCCTGGACCAAATGAATTGTGATGCTGGAATAATAACACATTCACCCATCAACCATTTGTAACCAGAAGATATGGTATACTTACCTGAGGCTGTATGAATATATCCACTTATTTCCCTGCACTTCAGTCTTCATTTTCTCCTTCAGTTTGAGCAACTGTTTCCATTGGCCAGCTGGAGCTTTGTATAGGCTTCATCTCCCAGAAGTTTTTCTTTTTTATGTAAATCTCGTGCACCCATTTCACCCATAAGTTATCTTCCTTTGTTGATACACTCCAAACTTGTTTCATTCGGGCAGCTGCATTCCACACTTTTGAATCCCTTATGTTCAAGCCTCCTTCCTTCTTTGTTATGCAAATCTGGTCCTATATCCAACCAACGACATACTTTTACCAGAGTCCTTTATACCCCACAGAAAGCATCTACATATTCTATTTATCTGTTGAGTAACACTACTAGGCAAGATGAAAGCATGTGCCCAATAATTGTTAATCGGCATGAAGACAGAATTAATCAGCTATATTATCCCTGCATAACTCAGGATTTTAGTGCTCCAACATTTAATTTTTGCAGCCATTTTCTACACCAAAACTTCACACTCCACTTGGGTCCATTTCCTTGGTGCGAGTAGTATCCCTATATATTTCATCAGGAACATCCCAGCTCTAAATCCCGTGATCTCACACAGTTTCTTTTTTAGCTCCTCTGGTACTCCTCCACGAAAAGTAAATATATGATTTTGTTGGATTTGCCACTAACCTAGTACAGTCTGAAAATTTGCAAAGCCCAGGTACTATTTTCTGGATGGTGAAAATATCTGCTTTGCAGAAAATCATAAGATCGTCTGCAAAGTAAATATTCGTCAACTTTAAACTTTTTCAGTACAGATGAAACTGTAAGTTTTATCATTAGCAGCATCAGCCAATAGAATTCATTAACAGCCGTTTTGAAATCCGTGAAAACAGCATTAAACTACATTAAATGAAGGAGGTTTTTCATTAAAAGAAATCACATAAAAGAATTCAAGAGCTATGAGAAAAAGGCCTGACAACAAAGTGTCTCAAAACTGATTTTCAACGCTTTCGTAAGTTTAAGTAGTCATGACATCTTTCTGCAAAGTTTAGAGTAACCTGTATAGCCACTCAATAATTCGACCAACCAGTAACCACAGATATGTTTGGAGAAGGTATACTTAGAAATAGAGTAACCTGTATGGCAAAGTTTCAAATGAATTACTAGACCACCGAAGTGCCACAATTATCTATCTTTAACATACATACATTGCATGCAATTCAAAATGAAAAAATTGGCTAAATAGCTATAGTCCTGCTTCGTCAATTATTTAATAATTCAAAACTAGGAACTCATAACTAAAGTGTGAGAATCATTACTGATTACAACAGCTAATATACGGTCCTAATGACCTTAACCTGCTTCCAGTTGCTGGTCAAATCAATCCCAGAATTCTTCTTCTTTTCATATGCCCTATCTCTCGACCTCTTCCTATTCTCCCTTCCTTTTTTTTGAATTCCTTAACTTCCTAGCTTTCTTACTCGGCCTTCCGGGCTTCCTAATTCTACTGCCACCCTTAGCTCTTGTGTGGTGACGTTTGATTATATATAAGAGTTAGAGAGGGTTGAGATGGTGTGGCTGGCCGATTCAGTTGAACTTGGGTGGAACTGATTTCGTTGGAGTTTAGAGAAGAAATGAGAATAAATGCGTGTGTTTGTGTGTGAATACTTAGGAAGTACACACGATGTCGTAGAATTATATAATTTAGCATTTTATAGAATGAATTATAATAGTTTAGGTATTTTTTTATAATTAAATATACAGATATCGTTTTTTTAAAAAAAAACCCGCAGCAAGGAGAGAATGTGAGGGAGTTTTCGAATTGTTGTTTAAGGAGGAGTGTATGAGTTGTCAGTAAATGGAAGTATAAGGGTGTGTTGTGGGCAATGGATTGGGACGGAGATAGGTGAGTATTAATGTACAAA